ATTGAATATTGATCCAAACGATAGTCACTTATGAAATATATAGATTCAACTACTCTATGAAGCAACTATAAAAAAAGTACTTCAAATTTTTTCAAGTGCTCAAATACAAAGTTGATGATTTACTCCGTCATTATCTGTCCAAAGTTTCGACTCACCTGTCGCTTGCGTGTTTTTCTTATCAGCGTTATCGGCGTTATCGCCAGACTCCAGACGTGTGGTAAAACACATATGGGTATATCGATGTAATGGGTTCTGATAAACGGTTACAGATCGCGGTCAACGAAAAATAAAGAAACATGATTCGGTTACAATGTTGTTTAACGCTTTTAATTATTTAAGTACGCGTGTAATATTGATAATTAAGCAATTACACGTGACATTGCTTTGCAAACTTACCAGTAATTAATTTCAGGATAACTGAGAATGTATGAATATCCAGTTTGAGCATATTTGGTCGAGTAGATTTTTTTATGAACATTACATTAACTTTTTGTACATTCGGATAAAAAACTTTATGCATTTGTCATGGAAAGTAGAAATTAGCCATCTTGAAATGTCGAATTACTGGTTCAATGGTGGGCAAATGGTGTTTTCGTAAGGACATTTTTTTTTCAATTAAGTTTTCGAGGATACAATTTGCAGCTCGGTGTTTTTTTTTTTTTTTTTTGTTGCTTAGATGACTGGACGAGCTCACAGCCCACCTGGTTTTAAGTGGTTACTGGAGCCCATAGACATCTACAACGTAAATGCGCCATGAAAGATCAAATAATTTTCCGAGCGCTATGACATGTCCTTCTTCAAACGAGGTTTGCGGAGAGTACTTTATGGTAGGAAGCGGCTTGGCTCTGCCCCTGGCATTGCTGACGTCCATGAGCGACGGTGACCACTTACCATCAGGTGGGCCGTATGCTCGTCTGCCTACTATGGCAATAAAAAAAAATCGATGTCAACATAAATATTACGCGTATAAATGCGAACAAATATATCGGTACAATGAATTTGTAGAAATGCAAGTCCTTATCTCCAGACGTTGTAATCTTTTATTGCGAAATTAAGCCAGTATCCAGTTATAACTGATTTCGCAACACACGGATTATTCATGCACAACGTGCATGATCATCATGTGTTGTCCGTGTGAAAAAAAAATGCGTATCATTTGTCTATCGCTCGAGAATACAGATAAAGCAATTCATTAACAAGCTATCGATTACGATCTATCTGTCTGGTCCATACGCGGATAATTTTATTTTCGTCATAATTTATCATTGATTCGTGCCGTCATATAATTTAATTGATAAATATTAACACTAATCTCATAAAATACCCTCACTGATAAATACAATGTAACGCTTAAGTAAATAATATGACCCTACGATACCTAAAAAAAAAATTTCTTACAAACTTGTCTAAATTGCACAATTATTAAATGGCATTGTGGTGATTTATAATATTTTTAGTAGTTTTTTTATTTTTTCTATAGTAAAAATGATTTAAAATTACTGTGCTCTGACGAACAAGCACGGAAACATCCTGATATGAGGCTATTTATAGGGTCACGGTCCTTGAGTCATAAGATCAAAAACTCCTTTGTTTTATTGCTTAGATGGGTGGACGAGCTCACAGTCCACCTGGTCTTAAGTGGTTACTGGAGCCCATAGACATCTACAACGTAAATGCGCCACCCACCTTGAGATGTAAGTTTTAAGGTCCCAAGTACAGTTACAACGGCTGCCTCACCCTTCAAACCGTTTAAGCAGTAATCTGCTTTACTGCAGAAATAGGCGGGGTGGTGGTACCTACCAGCGCGAACTCATAAGTGGTCCTGCCACCAGTGACCATACCTCCTGTATAGTACATATAATGGTTGTTATTTTTCAAATCGTATTGCATGCCTGTTTCGTAGCGGACATAGGCACTCTTAAATCAATCATTATATACGGAAATTTATATTATTTTGGGTTTATTATTAGGTACATCGTGTTATTTTATTTGTTACGTACAAATATTCTTGGAATAATTGATATCTCTAACTTAGGGCTTTTAACACGGTCGTAGTCCGCCGAGTAATTCAGGTGCGAAAGGTTGCATTCGGAATTATGAGTTAAAATTGTTATAACTTGTTTTGTTATTTTACGAACCTCGTCGAGTAATTTATTTTTCTATACAATGTTTGGTCCAATGCTTTAACTTATACGTAATTAGTACGTGGTCTTGTTCAATTATGGTTTATTTTATGGTTAGCTTTTTACGTCCCATTACTAGTTTGGTTTTAATGTCTCCGTGAATAATCATGTATTATTTGTTACATGCTACTACTAACTGGGACTTAGTCATCGGTAAGCTATGTGTTGTAGTTTTTTTTAATTTTAATTATAAACAGGAATACTACTATTATGTTCAATTACTGAGCATTCAGCGTGCAAAGAATATCCTTTCAAAGGGAATCCCTGTAAACGAAAGGAAAATTTTAATAGTACTTTAGATTAGTAGATTCGAAGTAAATTGTTCGAATAAAGATGCGCTATAAAGTATTTGATATTTGAATAAGAATTTATATGAAGAGCATTTCAGGAGCTCAAGCACATCTTAGATTCCTAACGTATTTTTACCAGACAAAGCAATGTCTTTGTAAAACGAGTAGATCACGTAATGCTCACCACATATGAGAACAGAAACTGTTAAACCTCCATTCTTTTGCATATTTTTAGTAGTAACCAGACAAACTAGCTATAATTATTCACAATCAGCAAACTGAACATCGCTGAATATCCAGTTCTCGAAAGCGAATCATTAAAGTTAAGATTTGATCAACCCTAAACTGTAATTACATACGAGTAAAACTAAAAATAAAAATACAAACAAAAAAGCTCTATATACTAAATGGATATATGTAATAGATCTTTAAAACGTAATAAACTATAAATAATTTTCTTTTTAAAGTTTGTTTGTATATTGTCGATAATGATTGAATGATTGAAGAATCGCATCGACTTCAAGCATATTATTTAATATTTATATGCAGAACATATATTGTTTTCACGACTTTCATAATTTACATAATCATCAATAATATTTATAATATCATTAATAATATATGTACATAATCATTCATGTTTACATACGCAATGAAAGCAAGCTTGTGTATGTATGCATTTATCTTTATTAGATATTCAAATAAAATAAATGTGTAGGGGCGTTTGAACGAGTTGCTGTGCGCAGTGCGTTTGCAACGTAGCGCCAGTGCGGGAATGGCGCATGAACGATATCAATTAGACCCAGGTGAGTTTTTATTCAAGATGTTAATCTTTATATATATACATATTTCTTCTGTCAGTGTGTTTGTCACCGAACTCCTCCTAAACGGTTGGATCGATTTGAATGATTTTTTTATATGCGTTTGGGTGGCACCCTGGATGGCTTAGATTCACAAATTAGCCCCGCAGAGGGCGCTGCAGCCGGTATCTAGGGTATTTGAATTTTGTCAGCTAGTATTACCTAATTTTTTTAGACAGATATATTAAAGGATGAAAATCTGCTTAATTCTTTCACATTTACTAAGAATAAGAAGTGTGATTTAGCGCTTCTTGTAAATCCTGTTTTGCCAATCAAATGCCGATCGTTCTCAAATAGGGTTGGCCCTAAGTGACCGGTCGTAAAATCAGATAAATATCAGATAACATGCAATATGGACACCGTCGTGTCTACCCACTTAGTAGGATAAAGGCAACATCAATTACTGCTTAAAACACATATTCGTTCGAGTTTTTTTGTTCACTGATATAAAAAAAGCGATGTTTCACTCTGAACTGACTGCCTTTTATTGCCTGAAAAATGCAATGTAAGGCTTTCGATGCTCGGATTGAGTGGCTCGGCCCTAGTGCTCTCGGGTGAAAATTGAGCGACTCATAGCACACGCGAGAGCCTATTCTACGACACCCGCACTCGGTAAAGTCGTGACCGATTAGATAGATATATGCGTCACTTTAATTTATTTTAATCTGTCTTATTATTACATTGAAGGTCTGTTTTGAACGTGGCGAATAGTATAACCGGACACTCATGTCTGGAAGCAAACCGGCCACTGGCCTGCGCTAATTAGTCCATATGTGGGGTTTATATGGGCCGACCAGCTCACGGCCGATTAGTTCTTGAGCAGTTAACGATAGACACCAAGCGTGTATCGATATGTAAACCGAAAATATATACAATAGCGCCAATTCCATTCTTCAAGAAACATCTGTTTTTTTAGCGCTTAGGTAGGTGGACGATCTCACAGCTCATCTGGTGTTTAGTGGTTACTGGAGCCCATAGACATATACAACGTAAATGCGCCACCCACCTTGAGATATAAGTTCTAAAGTCTCAGTATAGTTACAACGGCTACCCTAACCTTCAAACCGAAACGCATTACTTGCTGCACGACAGTGTGGTGGTTGGTACCCGTGCGGACTCACAAGAGGTCCTACCACCAGTAATTAAGCATTGTCATATTTAATGAACACCGTTGCTTGTATATAGGTGCACAAGAAGACGTGAAGCAGTTCTTGACCCTGCAACAGAAGGGCATGGCGCATCTATTGGACACGGCGAGGAAGGACCTTGCCGCACTCAACACCATCGCCGAAGGGATGTCGCAACTTGTTCGAACTTAGAACTTTTTAAATCACGTACGTCCTTTTCAATACAATCAGATATATTCGATGTTCGAATTTTTCAACGTTTTCTAAAATAATACGATTTCGATTATTATTATTATTATTATTATTATTATGTATTACTATTAGGAATGATAACAAAAAAATATGCTCTTAATTGAACCAAATCTGAAGATAGACCCAATATCACGAGCCAACACATTAAAATTTTTTCTATGAATATTAATTGGTTTTATTTATTGAAGTTTGAAAATTTAACTGCCTTCATAAATTATAATATCAAATATGGATGCATAGAAAAGTAGAGCGCGATGTAGACGTATCTTGAAGATGTAGCTTTTGTTTTCACGGAATGAGTTGTATTTTACCTTAGAGATAAGGAAGTAATCTGCGACAGTGTCTTGTCACGTACGATGTTTGCATTGTGATAAAAATTTTGCTGAATATGGTGAATAATGCTAAGCTGTTCAAATATTTGGGTGGCTGTGTTTTTGTATCAGACAGTTCTGAAAGCGAATTATTTCGGTCCGCTAATATTTATAACATAAATAATACGAGCGGTCTCCAATTTTATATTAAATACGTTTAAATGGGCTTAGGAATTGCGTATTTTCGAATTGAAGGCGGAGAAAATAATACGAGGAAAAGCGGTGTTAAATGTTTTTATTATATTATTCAATAAATATTAGCTTTTGGTGCTTAAATCTAAAGGTAAGTCTGGCCGTCTGACTACTTCTTCGATCGGCGCGCGTTCAATAGGTTTAGCGCAGATAAGATTCAAAGGCATTTCATCAATAGATCTATATCTTTTAGGGTTTTCCTCGATATTGGTCATGGAGACGTCTAGACGAGGCTGCTCCTCGTACGTAAATACTTTCTCGTTAATGCTCCGCCTCAACACAGGAAAGTTTACGTTCGAGTAGTAAGTTCTATACGCGTGCTCGTACATTTGCGTGTACTCGATGTAGGACATCTCGTTTGATGGGACTCGTACAGGATAGATCTGCTCGATAGGGCGGAGGTACGTAAATTGATCGACTGGATATGAAATTTGTTGAGGGATTAGTGAGTCCGCCACTAGTGGCTTGTAAGGTACCGTCGGTGACATGCTAGGTGTGCAGTTGATGCACGTTACTGGCGACATCGGCTCGCTCATCACGCTCTCTTTGGGCGAAGTGATGGGACTACGTGAGTCCGATTCTTGTTTGGCAATCTGTTCGGCTGTGTAGTGCTTGTACGTTTTGACGTGTTTCCTTAAACTGGACGGATCTGTGTAACGTTTGTTGCATCCAGGTACTTTGCAGCAATAAGGCTTCTCCACCGCATGTGTCCGCGTGTGCTTGAAACGGTCGCTCGAATTAGAATAGGCTTTACCGCAACCCTGCAGATAGAACAGAAAGTTAATTTTAAAGTACCATAACAGATGAAGAACACTTAAAAGAAAAAAAAAAATGGTCTTGACATTCAAACGTATTTACCTCATATGGACACACGTAGGGCTTTTCTCCGGAATGTGAACGGAGATGAATTTTCAAGTTTTCAGCTCTGGAAAAGCTTTTATTGCACTGGTTGCATGTGTGCGGACGCTCGTTTGTATGTGTTCGCACGTGGACTAGCATTTTGTATCTGTTGATAAGATAATTAGGAAATTAGCGATCATTTTTAACATTGACAATTTACGAACGTGTGCGTAACGCATTTTGCATCGTACAAACCTTGCATTGAAACCTCTCTGAGGTCTGCTGCATCCTCTCCAGCCGCAGTAGAAGAGTCCGTCTGTGTGTGCGATTGCGTGCGTGCGTGCGATGTGTGCGGAGAGTCTCGCGACACTCAAGCACCTCGCACCACACCCGTGCCAACCGCAAACACCTTCCGCCTTTTCGGCGGTCTCTCCGTTGGTCTCGTACGACCGCTCGGGGGATGACCCACCCGACGAATCCTCATCTTCTACCTGGTGGCGAAATAACATTTTGTTAGTACTTCAAGTACTTAATGAAACACGCAGGTCCTATGATCACGGTTTACGATAAAGACCAAACGTACTTGTGGAGGCATAGGCGCTAAAGGCACGGGCCTCGCGAAGTATGGCGCGAAACGCTCGGCGGGCATCCATCGTGGGATCCTGCATCCGTCGCCGCGTATGTCTGATCTCCATTGAGGAAACACCAACATGTTCGCAATTATACTGATGAACTGTCACAAAACAAATACTGGTTGTGGTCACGGCGCGGTCGCCGCGGACAATGATGGCGAGAGCGTGCGCCGCGTACTTATAAAACGTCTCGAAGTGACAACGCGCTGATAAGAGGACGAGTCCCCCGCGAACACACCGTCTGCCTTTTCATAACATTTCCTACCAAATTTACAAAGTTGCTGGTTACATTTCAATTTACGTTTAGTTATTTACCAACGTTTCAAAGTTTTCAATAAAAACAAACGGTCTGTTGGATAAGCGAATTCAGAGTAGTCGTGTGGTGTAATGTTAGTAGCGTTATCGGTAGCCGCCTGCTGCGGCCGATGTCCAGTTTATACCGGTCTGATGATAGACCACAGTTCAATAGGTGACTGATATCGCGATGTCGGAGCGAGTCGACCCCTTACTGGTTCTTATTTACGAACATCGTATTTCTTACGATTAAAAATATGTATTCTTGTACAAAGTGCACTATTTAAACATCTTGTTACTTGAGTAGATCCATTTCATCTGTTTTAGTAATGAAAAATACATATTTCGGTATTTTAATGTCACAACTGTATTTAAAAGGAATGTTGTAATTAACAAAATATTCCATTTAATGTTTGTAGAAAGTAATATTTATGAAATAATGTGTATCTAGGATTTTTTTAGAAACAGCAAATATTTGTGTTGAACAAATAAATGACGAGAAACAAGATTTTATTATAATTTTATTATCAGATATCGTTTTTCATGAGATGTCATTATTTAAGAACTAAATATTAGCGAATAATGAATACATTGTTTCAATAAGCCATCTGCATACGTTACTATATTTATTGCTTTCGAAGGCACCATAAGATCCTTATTTTGATGTGTTTCATTGTGGCTGAGGAGTATAAACCGCTGCCGTCAGGTGAAAATTGTTCAAACCTCGTTGGAAAAAGAACAAGGTTAAGATATGTTGTGAAAAGGAGTTTGTGGATTACAAAGGATGGTACAGGCAAAAATGATCTCTGGAAATACTTGACGGACCGTTTGCCCTACCGAATAGACAACTGTTGTGTTATATTTTCTTTTATTGCCCTTGTAGGCAGACGAGCATACGGACCACTTGATGGTGAGTGGTTACCGTCGCACATGGACTTCAGCGATGCTAGGGGCAGAGGCAAGCCGCTGCCTACCGCTTAATACTCTCCACAAGCCTCGTATGAAGAAGGACATGTCATAGCGCTCGGGAAACACCGTGGAAGGGAGCTCATTCCATAGCCGGATGGTTCGTGGTAAAAAAGATCTCTGGAAACGCACTGTGGATGACCGCAGTGGCTCCAGGTAGTATGGATGAACTCTACTCCTGTGGCGGGCGGTGCGATGGTAAAAACGAGATGTCGGTATCATCTCGAACAATTCCTCAGAGCACTCCCCATGGAACAAACGGTTCAAAATACAGAGGGAACCGGAGTCCCTCCGCAGACCCAGAGGTTCCAAACGATACTTACTACTTACTTCGAGTTTCTCTCAAAAGGCGAGAACAACAATCTACATTTTCAGGAGTGGCTCCTTGTACACAACCTTCCTCATTGGTATGAAGTTTCCGTGGACTAAATACTACTTATGTGAGATTAATAATGTAACTATTTGACGACTCAACCCTTCGACTGTTACCAAAAAGATTTCATTTTGTGGGAAAAGCTTTATAAAATTTTCGATGGATTGGATTGGGATCTCTAGTCCAACATACCAATTGTTTTCTTCGATGTCCCTTGTAACCGTTTACGGGGTATATCAGGCCGGCTATAGGAATATCTACAGATCCTGTTTTGCTTTAAGACGAAACTTTATTTTGCTTAACATAGGTGATGAATTAGACTCTTCCGTAATGCTACCGTAATGTCCGACGTTGCTTCGTCTCTGACAATTTTTAGGTACCTATTCAACATTAAAGCTGTATCTACTAAATGCCCAATCAAGACTTGTTAAGCTATCCTTCCTGTTAAGTGAGATTTAAAATTGGTCATAGTTACATGCTTGCCTACGCTTATAATTAGGCCCCACCGTTGCTCTGCCCCTTCTTAATACTAAGTGCTGCTGTGGTTACCTGTCCCTGCCAACGCCATCGAAGAAAGATTTATCTTTGTTGGATAGTGCAGAGTAGATCGTAAACTCTTGGATGTTATTGAGAATAAAAAGCCTCTCATTAAGATAGCAAAATATGGACACCATGATGGGCCGCCGCCTGTCTTGAGAATGAGGGTGATGTGTTGCTCTCGGGCCAAAACGAAAAACTCAAGGTACAAATAAGGCGGTGGTAATAATTTCTGCGAGTGCAAATATAACAATTAGGGAGAAGATGAGGAAGTTAGGTAAAAAAATAAAGATACTATTACCACTGACGGGACATGAAAAATGAGTAGTAAGTAGATCGAGGTCAGACACGTCTATCTTACGAACAACATTCGGACCGATTATCGAGAATTGATACCATATAATCCCCTTTAAATTTGGTTAGCGTTATTGGATGGAGAAGTACAACGTTAAAGTTATGATGTAATCATTCTTGTTGAGACGTCGGCGAGCTTAGACAGATCTGACTAAATGATAACTATCAGATATGTGTTAGGACTTAGGAAAAAATTACCTGCAGACGATGCGTGAATTGTACTTTGGATATGTCGTGCTATTCTTATCTAATCACGTGGAATCGTCTACCGATTTCCGGGCTCACTAGATGTTACAACTTTGGCGTGAAAACTTTGTGTTTTACGTTGCTTATCTTGCGAGTGAAGGAAACTGAATAACTGCGGAAAAATCAAATATCACTCACGTCTTGTGAAATTTCCCTTTAAGATGTGTTAATAGGAATTAGAAGTTAAATTTTATCAACATCCGAATGTGTGCGGATTTAACATTTTACGGTAATTACGTTGTTGTAAAATCTTATTTCTTCGTTAAATGTTAATGTGATATGATATAATATACGTAATTTGTTAATTTTATATACTATATACAAATGGGTGCAGTTTTTTTATTGAGCCAGCTCAACTACGGATCAAAATGACTGGATGCTTCATATTTCATTAATCGTTCAATCTACATGACAAAGCGTATAACATCACCTATTTAAAAACAAGAGTAAATATACTGCAGAATTATGCGTCATTGGATTACTTTGTTCGTCGAACCAGTGTGGGTAATTGTGTTATCAGCTGGGAGTGTTGTAGTGCGTGTACACACACGTCTGTGTTTGTGACGGAGCGTCGTCGGCCCCCTGCGGCCGGCTGGCGGCGCGTGCGTCGGTTTCAGCCGGTTCTCTTATCATAGTGTTGACTGTTGTTGTCTCGTACCTACTATCTATGTTCACTTTATGAAGGACTCAATAAAATATGACACGTTTCTGGTTTTATGATTGATTTAATGATGACGCAATGACGTGAGTTCATCAGATACTTTCAGCTTTGTTCTAAATCAGGACTTTTCATGGGACACGCACGCAAGCACGTCTAATTAGAAACGCAAAACTATATGCAACGATTTCAAATACAAACTTTCCATAAATTCGGAATATGAAAATAATCAAATTAAAAGACCGATTGTTTTGAGATACCTACAAAATAAAATTATAAAAAATGTGTATACTTTTTTGTGCAAAAATAAATAAATAAAGCTAAGTTATGAAACAGACTATAGTTGGTTAGTTTATATTTACTATAAGGTACATATATTTATTCTACTTAATAAAACTTTAAGTACAATGAAGTGTTTTTTAATGTAAAAGGAATATATTATTTAGTTTTGAGGCATTCGTTAGGTACCCTATCCTCATGTTCAGAAAAAGTTTCTTTAAATTCCATTAATTAAATTTCACGTTGGAAATAGAACTTTGAAAAAATTGCTGGTTATTTATACCTCATAATTGTAAAAAGAAGTAAATATTCATGTTGAATACGATATGTCATTTAACAAAAAAATGCTGACTAACATTTATTTCAAATAAATGTAAAAATAATAAAAAATATTATAAACTTGTAACAGCATAAAGGTTATATGAAAATACTTATTTTTTTAAAAGTTGATCCATAATAGCTTGTTCGCTGGGTATCAGTAGTAGTTAGTGTGGACAAGCGAATCTATCGGTGCTTTCCCGTTATAACCGGTTACTGGTTATCAAAACATTACATGTGTTTCATCACATGATCGAAAGACGGATTTTTATTTAGAATATAAAATGAATAACAAAATAATTAACCAATAACTTAAATAATGCAATTTTAACCGATTCAATTGCAACGTCAGTTTGTCTTGATGATTGATGCTCGTGGCTTCTATCATGTATAATTTTTTTTTTTTTATATTGCTTAGATGGATGGACGAGCTCACAGCCCACCTGGTGTTAAGTGGTTACTGGAGCCCATGGACATCTACAACGTAAATGCGCCACCCACCTCGAGATACAAGTTCTAAGGTCTCAGTATAGTTACAACGGCTACCCCACCCTTCGAACCGAAACGCATTACTGCTTCACGGCAGAAATAGGCGGGGCGGTGGTACCTACCCGTGCGGACTTCCAAGAGGTCCTACCACCAGTGATTACGATAATTTTGCGGGTTTGATTTTTATTACACGATGTTATTCCTTCACCGTGGAAATCAATCGTGAACATTTGTTGAGTACGTATTTCATTAGAAAAATTTATACTCGCCTGCGGGATTCGAACACCGGTGCATCGCTACATACGAATGCACCGGACGTCTTATCCTTTAGGCCACAACGACTTCAAAATCTATCGTATTGTATTTCTATTATATTTGATCGCTTCAGAGTTTGGGTGGCAAATAATGGACAGTCGTTCCTTGATATTAAGCTTCTTAAGTATGAAATCGTTGAAGCGATGTGATATACTAAAGTATCTACTAATAAATTTAAAAAGCATCTTATTCATGTAATTTATTGTGGGTACTTCCATTTTATATTTATAAAAACAATATTTTTGTATCTGTATATGAGCCTATGAGCTCAAGGCTTGTTGTGGGTACCAATACCCTAAATACTATAGTGTATCAAGACAGCGGTGCCTGTCAATGCGGGATTTCAACCATAAGAAGTTAGGTTGAAAAGGAACGAAGATACTGCTACTACAGTTTACTGGTGGTAGGACCTCTTGTGAGTTCGCGCGGGTGGGTACCACCACTCTGCCTATTTCTGCCGTGAAGCAGTAATGCGTTTCGGTTTGAAAGGTGGGGTAGCCGTTGTAACTATACTTGAGACCTTAGAACTTATACCTCAAGATGGGTGGCGCATTTACGTTGTGGATGTCAATGGGCTCCAGTAACCACTTAACACCAGGTGGGCTGTGAGCTCGTCCACCCATCTAAGCAATAAAAAAAAAATACAGAAGGATAACTGCAAAGTAAGAGCAGCGGCATATCTCTATAATAACCAGACATACGAGTTTTATTGAGATTAGCAAGACAACGCATTCCGTAGCTCTGATAATATTCTCTACTGTCATTCTGT